TCCTGGGTTTAAACCAGTACACACAAATATATAAATGGATAGATAGGTAAGTAGATATAGATAAAATAAAAAAATAAAGGGATACAGCAGAGGTAATCAATGGTAGCAAAGGTGAGTTTATCTAGTGAAGCCATTTTGAAGCTTCTTAAAATCTCCACTCCACAATCATAACTTCTCTTTTGTTTGTGGCTAAGTCGTGCTTTCCCATGGTTAGAATAAAATCGATTTAGCAACACATTTTGACACAGTCTGTGTGTTATATTAATGAAAAATATTAGTTCTCCCCTCTGCTCAGTCTCATTTCTTTATATTGAAAAGCTGCACTCCTCTCTCAGAGGCTGTCTAGGCTGAGGGAGACTGACTGTGAACTTGGCAGTTTTCCCTAACAGTCTCTGGCCAAAACTGTCATTGTCTGGCTCAACTGAAAAGGGTCAGGTTTCCAGTGACAAAGGAGCTGCTGCTTGGGATCCTCTTCCAGTCTCACCAGCAACCAGCTGCTTTTCTCTCCCAGCTCAAGTGTCTTTGCTGCCCCTCCTGCAGCATGCAAGCCTAAGGGGAGATCTACAGCAAGCTGGCACCTTGAGCAGTCTTTACATCTTTAACGTAAGTGTGGAAGTGCATTGGGAGTTACACTTCTCTTCAAGAGGTCATTTAGTTGATTCTTGGTTCCCAGATTAACTAAGGTCTGTATTTCCTTTTCTGTCCCATTTTCTTCCACTCATTTGCTCATTTACATGTGAGACTGATCATAGTATAGTACAGTGTAAGTCAGAGCCTGGTCATCCCATTAGCTTTTCACCTTGGAGTAAGAACTGACGTCATTACAGTGGCCCATTTCCAGTTCTGCATGATCTGTCCACCAACCCTCCATATCTCCTCATCATTCACTCAACTCTAGCCCCAATGGTCTGCTTGCTGTTCCCTCAATGCCTGGAACACCTCAGATAGCCACATGTTCTCACCTCCTTAAATTATTTATGGAAATGTCACCCATCAGTGTAGGAAGACGGTGTAAATAGAGAAGATGGTCCTGGGACTGAGCCCTGCATGGTTTAGTTACTTCACATATCATAGTATTAGAGTTTGAGTAGAAGACCAGGAGCCTGCCAAAAATGAGCAGGAAAAACGCTCAGAGACCTAAGAAGAGGAATACAAGGAGATTGTGGTATCAATGAAGCCAAGAAAGGAACTTGAAGGTTCTGCCTGGTGTGGTGGCACAGGTCTGTAATCTCAGCTACTCAAGAGGTTAAGGCAGGAGGATCACAAGTTCCAGGGCAGCCTGGGCAATTTAGTGAGTCTCAAAGTAAAAAGGGCTGGAGATGTAGCTCAGTGGTAGAGAATTTGGCTTAGCATGCACAAGGCCCTGGGTTCAATCCCCAGTAAACTTCCCCCCACCAAAAAAGGTGAGAATTCCCAATTATGACAAATGCTGCTGAGAGATCAAGTAGAAATTTCCAGAACACTATTCATATGTTCAATTAATACTCAAGCAATATATTAATTATAAATATGACAAAAGCCATCTCTCAGTGGAGAGACAGGGAGAAACCTAGAGAGAGACGAGGAGTCAACAGGGACAGGAGTGAGGGAATGGTAAGAGATGGAGTGAATTAATGACATAGGAAAGGGAAGGGATACCAAAGAGCAAAGTTCTTGGGAAGTGGAGAGGAGATGAGGCCTGGTACTGGGCGTAGGGAGGAGAATATTCATCTCAAAGCTAATGAAACTGAACTCTTGGGGCTCTTCACTTGCCTGGACCCCTTTCAACAACTTTTTTGCTTTTTCTTTGGGTGGGAGTGCTAGGGATAAAATCATGGACCTCATGCATGCAAGCAAGTGCTCTACCACTAAGCTGCATCCCCAACCCAGGGCTATTTTTTTTTTCTTTTTTGGTACTGGGACTTGAACCCAGGCATGCTTAATTACTGAGTCTCATCCCCAACCCTTTTCACTTTTTTTTTTTTTTTTAATTTTGAGACAGTGTTTCACTAAGTTGCTTATGGCTTCATTTAGTTGCTGAGACTGACCTTGAACTTGTGATCCTCCTGCCTCAGACTCCCAAATCCCTAGAATACAGGCATGCACCACCACACCTGACCAGGACTGACTTTGATAAGACAAGTGCTCCAGTATTTTTCAAACTTGAGGGACGAAAGGAAAATAAAACAACCAAAATTACTTAACTGGCATACAATATATATCGGAGGAACCCATGGAAATTCTGTCCTCCAGTTTGAGAACCGCTAGGCTCCTTGAGACACTCATGTACCTCACTGGGAACTAGGAGGCCTTCAGTCAATGTCTGGCTTCACCTGCACCATGTAAGCTTCACCATGTTAGCTTCATGGGCTGGGACCTATACAATACCTTGGGGCCCAATGCTTGGTTTAATGCCCTGCTATCAGTGTCTTGAAATTTCTCATAACATTTGAATAAGGGGCCCACATGTTCATTTTGTATTGGGCCCAGCAATTTCAATATCTGGTCTTGGTCAAATGATCTTGTAGGGATATATTATGACCTTGGGCAAGGTGCTTGACTTTTTAAAAAATTGAGATATAATTCTCTACCATAAGTTGAACTATTTATGACTTGATTTCCTCATTTTCAAACACCATAATAAATTTCACTTCCTGAGTAGGACATGTGATAATGAAAGTAAAGGTCTGTGACCTCCTCCAATGAGGTGACTCTTTCCATTAGGTATGCTCTCATACTTGTTGCATACCACTACTTATCATGCAGTGGTTTCTTGCAGCTGCTGGTGTGGCATTTATTTTATTTAATTTTTCATGCTGGGGATTTACTGGGGATTGAACCCAGTAGCACTTAACCACTGGTCAACCTCCCCAGCTCTTTTTATTTTTTAAGACAGGGTCTTGCAAAATTGCTGAAGCTGGCTTTGAACCTGCGATCCTCCTGCCTCAGCCTTTGGGACATTCCTATTCTTAACTAACACTAATGTGATTTTTTTCCCCTTCCTTTTCATACCCAACAAACTTTTTGAAATGAGACCTACATTTATCAATCACATTGTGCTCTTTTCCAAGTGGTCTCTGCTTGCTAGGGTTTAAATCTATAAGTGCTTCCCCTATGTGGGAGGAAGAAGTGATACAAATTCAAGTTGCAATTGAGGAATGTAAGTGTTTTGGGTCCCCTTCTCTTTATGAAAGTGCATAAAACAATAGCTCCACAATTAACAAGAAAAAGGAAAAAAGATACCCAGTTTGTCCCTAACATTTGTGTGGCCCAAGACACGAATACAGATGAAAAAACAAATTATAAACTTAATATTTAAAATTTATAAATTAAGCTAACAAATTGTTAAAATCTTATTTAACCTTGAAAAGTATGTTTTCCTGATGTTGGCCAAGTTTAAATTGAGAGTTTTGGGCAGGGTGTGGTAGTGAATGCCTCTAATCCTAATGACTCATGAGGCTGAGACAGGAGGATTGAAAGTTCAAGCCCAGCCTCAGCAATTTAGAGAGAGACAGTCTGAAAATTAAAAAAAAAAAAAAAATTTAATAAAGGCTGGGGATGTAGCTCAGTGGTAAAGTGCCCCTGGGTTCAATTCCCAATACCTAAAATAAATAAATAAGTAAAAATTGAGAATTTCAGGGCTCTTTGGAGTTCTTGCTGCTGGAACATGATTGTGGGAGGTGAGACAGATTCTGGTCTTGTCCACTTCTCTTCCCAACCCTGGCTCAGAAAATTTTAGAGGATTAGAGAGAAGTAGTTGCAGAGGGATGGAAGGCAGAGGGAATCAAGAACTTTCACACTTCATCCTTGACCTGAGCTGAGTTTGAGGACATCCTAGATTTTATTATTATTGTGGGGATTCATTTCTTTGTATTGGAAAATACTAAGCCCTATTTCAGGACTTCTATGACCCCACCAGGAGGGCTTGGGTCAACTGAAGAAAGAACTCAGGTTGTTCTCTGGTAGGCTTGCCTCACACACCACTGGTTCATTCTACCTGCCACTTAATGTTCTTTTCCAGGAATGGCTGTCCCACAGCACCAGTTTCCTTTCAGGACAAAAAAGCAAGACCCAAAGCAAAGTTCAAGAAGGGAAGCAGAGACCAGCAGGAAGTTTTGAAGTATGAACCCCAAGACACTATTATTTTCTAACCACTCCACAGTGACATCAGCCTATGTTGCTCATAAGAACAGACAGAAGTAGGTGCTTGCCATTTGGACATGAGGTACATGTTGTGGAGCCTAGAATTTCCAGAGGAATTTGTGGTGAGGAGAGAAGTGGTGGTGTGATGAATGGCTCTGAGTTTCCACCCTAAAAGAATGTTAGACTACTATTGTCATCAGCAGGTTCGTAAATAGAACTTAGCTCCCGATAGTTGTCTTGCTTTCTAGTATTTTTATGAAAGAGATAATAAGAAGCAAAGGGAACTTCCAGGGGACATATTATAGCTAGGTGGAAAAAGCTTTCTTTCTCTCTTCATTATTTATTTGGCACTTGGGATTGATCTCAGGGGCACCTAACTGCTGAGCCATATCCCCAGCCCTTTCTTATTTTTATTTATTTATTTTTAGAATGCCTTTATTTTGTTTATTTTTATGTGGTGCTGAGGATCGAACCCAGTACCTCACATGTGCTAGGCAAGCACTCTGCCACTGAGCTATAGCCCCAGCCCTTATTTTTATTTTGAGACAGAGTCTCACTAAGTTGATTAGGGCCTCACTCAGTTTCTGAGGCTGGCTTTGAATTCATGATCCTCTTGTCTTAGCCTCCCAAGCCTTGGAAAGAAGCTTTCTTAGGATAAAGCCCAGACAGAATAAAGCAGAGCCAATAGACTCAGGAAGACGTGAGCATGAGCAATCTGACAACAGGGAGCCATCCCTGCTGGAAGTTTAGGAATTCTGATAAATAGAGCTAATAAACTTTCCCTCACTTTTTTTTTTTTTTTTGGTCTAGTTTAATTTGGTATTTTGATCCATTTGCTGTTGTCAACAATATCAGATATGTTGTAAAGAAAAGAGGCTGGGGATATAGTTCAGTTGGTAGAGTATTTACCTTGCATGCAAAAGGCCCTGGGTTCAATTCCCAGTACCACTACCAAAACAAAAAGAGGATTATTTGGATTCAAGATTTTGGAGGTTTAAGGACTTGTATCTGGTGATGACCTTCTTGCAGGTAGAGTCCACAGAGACCACACAGCAAAAGTCAGGGAGGACCTCTATGCACGTGTGTCTCTTCTGGTCTCTCCTTTTTCTTATAAATCCATTAGGGAGCTGGAGGTGTAGCTTTGTTGTAGTGTTTGCCTAGCATGGCGAGACCCTGGGTTCTATTCCCAGCACTGAAAAAACAAAAGAGAAGTCACTAAGATTCAATCATGGGACTTCACCCTAATGATTCTATCTAATCCTAATCGGTTCCCAAAGGCCTCACCTTAAATCAAAAAAAAAAAAAAAAATTTTTTTTTAAAGTGCCTGCCTAGCAGCTAATTTCTTTCCCTTGTAGGAGTACTTTAGCACTAAACTACCTCCCCAGTTCTTCATCTTTTTTATTTTGAGACAGGGTCTTGCTAAGTTAGGGCCTTAACTGGGTTTCTGAGACTGGCCTTGAACTTGCTATCTTCCTGCCTTAGTTTTGTAGTTGCTAGGATAAAGCGTGCACCACCACCCTGGCTCCATTTATTCTTTCTTACTCTACAGCTAATGAGGGAAAACCTAAATAAACCCCTTAGCTTCACTTGTTCTTAGTTGACTTAAAAATAACTAATTTTGGAGGTCACACAGCTGGGTGATACATTATTAGTTTCTAACCAGCTTTGTTATAGATAATACCTCTGACGTGTGAGTTATGATGATAAGAGTTGCCTAGTTACTTTTCAGGGACTGAAGGCCACTCTTGCTGAAAACCCTGATTCTTCTATTGGGCCTGCAGATGTCTGAAGGATGACTGGAACAGGATGAAAAGGCTTGGCCTCTCTGCCTTGCTACTTTGTTTTTCTCCTTTTATGCCTTAAGCTTTGTGGTCAGAATGAACTCAGTTTTGCAGGTAGATGTGCTGATCATTTAAGAAATGTTTTGTCCAGAACTATAAAACAGGGTTAATCTAACCTAGACTTGCCTGGTCTTTCTTTTCTTTTCACCTTTCAAGGCTAAAGACACCTGCCAGCAGCCATGACAGGAAGCACCAGACCATGGAAGGAGTTCCATCTGTTCCCAGAAAGAATGTGACTATTCCTCCCATTTATTAATCTCTCTCTCTCTCTCTCTCTCTCCCTCTCCCTCCCCCCTCTCTCTCTCCCTCCCTCCCTCCTCCATTATTCCTATCCTATAGCTGTGATTCCTCAACTCCCTGGAGGGGAGAAGCTGATTTGCCAGGAGAGCTCTCACTTCTTCATTCTTTAGCCACTGAATAAATCACTTTCTTGCCAGGCCTGGTGGCACACGCCTGTGATCCCAAGGATTCAGGAGGCTGAGACAGGAGGATCACAAGTTCGAGGCCAGCCTCAGCAACTTAAACAACTAAATTTCTTCTCTTGGTACTTTCTCTTTGAGTCACTGGCTATATCAAGCAGCAGCAGAATCAGATCTTTTCTTGGTTACACCACCACGTGCCAGCCACCATCAACACACCATCTACCCCCGATTCAGTTACCTGAATTTCTCCTGTTATGTAAGGAAAGCAAAGAAAAGCTATATATAGTTCATCAACCAACTGATAATAACACCCAAGAAAAAGGGAATATTGTCTTAATTACATGGTCACACACGAACACTTCTAGAGTATAAGGTACTAGGATAGATACAAGGCAGATGTGGGGAAGAAGAAACTCTTCCCTCAAGAGTATATGAAGTAAATTGGGACATAAAACCTAACTAGTATCCAAAAAAGTTTTAAAAAAGAAAATACAAGCACTTTGGGAAGTAGTTCGACAGTTTGGTTCCTCAAAAAACAAAATAAACAAAAACAAGACAAAAAAGCCATGACATTATTATTAGATTCAGCAATTCAATTTCTAGAGTTAAATAAAGATTATAAGAGGCCATTGTTTTGGATTGAGCTCCTGCACAGACTGTGCTTAAGATAAAAATAAAGTCACTCGTGCAAAATTCCATGTCACCAAACTGAAACTAACTTGTCCATCTGCCCTTCCAAGGAATGGAAATATTGAGAAATTGAGAAATTGGGGTTAGAGAGATAATGGCCACATTTCCCAAACAGGCCAGTTCAACTGGCGTGAGAATAAAGTTCCCTCTGCCATAATCCTTACACAAAAAAAGTTAACCTAAAGTAACCTGATGTTAGCCAATCAGTTATTTTTCTATTGTTTTGTCTCCCTGTCCCTGCCTTACAAGGAAATTATCTTTGAAACGACCAAATCACATTTTGTTCTTTGTTTCTGCCTGTCTTTGTGTATAAAACCATTTTTTTCTACTCAGCCCATTGGAACACTTAATCTATTTTATGGAATAAAGTGTTGCCTGATTCTAGAATTGTAATTTTATCCTTTGACACTAGATGTTTACTTAGTAGAAACAAAAACATGTGTCTACAAGAAAACTTGCACATGAGTGTTTACAGCAGTACTATTCACAATAGCCAAAAGGTGGAAACAACCCAAGTGGTTATCAACCAAGGAATGGAAAAAATGTGATACATCTGCTGGGCATGGTAGCACATGCCTGTAATCCTAATGACTCAGGAGGCCAAGTCAGGAGGATTGCAAATTTAAGGCCAGCCTCAGCAATTTAGGGAGGCCCTAAGCAAATTAGTGAGACCTTGTCTCAAAACTAAAAATGAAAAGGGCTGGGGATGTGGCTCAGTGGTAAAGCACCCTTGGGTTCAATCCCTAGTACAAAAATTTTTTTAAAATGGTGCATCCATATAACAATATTATTCCATGGGATATTATTCATCCAAAGAAGTGAAGCATTATGGGATAGTTGGTCCTCCATATGCCCAGGTTTCACATACATAGACTAAACCAATCACAGGGGGAAAATACCCACCCTCCAAATTGCTTCTATATAGAACATGTGCTCACTTTCCCACCTATATCATTATTCCTTAAGCGATGCAGTACAGCAATTATTTACATGACATTTACATTGTTTGGGGTTTATAAGTAATCCAGCCAGGCATGATGGCACACACCTATAATCCCAGTGACCCCAGTGGCTTGGGAAACTGAGGCAGAAAGATAGGAATTCAAAGTCAGCCTCAGCAACTTAGCAAGGTCCCAAGAAATTTAGCTAGACCCTTCTCAAAATAAAAACAAGAAAGGACTGGGGATGTGGTTCAGTGGTTAAGTGCCCCTGGGTTCGATCCCCAGTACCCCCCCCCCCAAAAAAAAAGTAATCTAGAAATGACAAAGTATACAGGAAGATTTTATAGGTTATATGCAAATACAGTATCATTTTATACAAAGAATATATATAGACTGTGGCGGGCAGGGGGCAGGGCACCTAGAACCAATGGCCTATATATGCTGAGGGAGAACTAAAGTGAGAAACACATTTGGATGCCAGATGTGGTGGCACATTCCTGTAAGTCCAGCTACTTGGGAGGCTGAGGTGGGAGAATGGCAAATTTGAGGCCAGTCTGAGCAACCTAGTGAGATCCTGCCCCAAAATAAAATTTTAAAAGGGCTGGGGGTGTGGGTCAATGGTAAAGCACTTGCCTAATATATTGCAAAGTCAAAAGGGAGAAAGAGAGAAAGGAGAGATTTTTGTCTTTGTTCCCAGTTCCTGAAACAGAGCTCCTAAACTCCTTGGAAGTCATTAAGTGATAGCGGTGCTATTTGTTATTCATAATGAGTTCCTTTCAACCATACCAGGGTCTAGGATGGGAGCTGGTGTGCAAGTCAGAGAGTTGGAACTGTCAGCCCTATTCCCCATATTCTACTTCCAGGGAGGGGAGAAGAACTGGATATTTCAATTCAATCACCAGTCAATGCTTTAGTCAATCATGGCTATGTAACGAAGTCTCAATGAAACCCCTAAATTATAGTGGTTGAGGAGCTTCCAGTTGGTGAACATATTAAAATGCTGAGGGAAAGGTGTCCTGGAGAATCATCTTCCTCCTTACCTTGCCCTATGCATCTCTTCCACTTATATATTCCTTCCTTCCTTCCTTCCTTCCTTCCTTCCTGTACTGGGGATTGAACACAGAGGTGTTCTACCACTGAGCTACTTCCCCCAGCCTTTTTTTTTTTCTTTCTTTCTTTCTTTTTTTTTTTTTTTTTTTTTTAATTTTGAGACAGAGCTCGCAAAATTGCTGAGGCTGGCCTGAAATTTGCAATCCTCCTGCCTCAGCCTCCCCAGTCACTGGAATTACAGGCATACTTCCCCATGCCTGGTGAGTTGTATCATTTATAATAAACTAGTAGCAATACATAAAATGCTTTTTGGAGTTCTATGAATCATTCTAGTGAATTATTGATCCTGATGGGACATCATGGGAATCCATGAATTTGTGGTTGGCCAAGAAGAAATGCAGGTAGCATGGGTACCCCATTTGTAGCCGGCATCTGAAGTGGAGGCAGACCTCTGGGACTGAGCCCTTAACCTGTGTGATCCGATGCTGACTCCAAGAATTAGGTCAGAATTGAAGGGAACTGTAGGACATCCAGCTCATCTCAAAGAATTGAGGTCAGGAAGAAAGAACCTCAGAAGTGTTGATACATGTTACAACATGAATAAGCCCTGAAAACATTCTGCTAAATTAAACAATCCAGACATAAAAGGCCACACACGAATGATGCATTCTATTACCATTGAAATGTTCAGAACATGCCAATATATAGAGTTAGAAAGCAGATTAGTAGTTGCCAGGGACTAGGAGCAGGGTAGGAGTTGCGGGGTTGGAAGGGAGTTACTACTAATAAATATGGTTCCTTTCTCCTCTTCATACTGGGGTTTGAACCACTAAGCTACATCCCTAGCCATTTTACTTTATTTTATTTTTTTATTCTGATACAAGGTCTTGCTAAGTTGCCTAGGGCTTTGCTAAATTGCTGAGACTGGCTTCAAACTTATGATTCTCCTGCCTTAGTCTCCTTATTTGCTGGGATTACAGACATGCACCACTGTGCCTGGTCAAAA